TAAACCGGTCCGTGGCGCAAAAAAGGTTGGGGACCACTGTCCTATACCATAAATCAGTAAGAGAAGGTACGACCTCTCTCATGACCTTAAGTTGTGTGTGTGTATGCCAGAGTGCTCTGGGAGGCACACAGAGTCTTTGCAGACTGCTAAGGATCAGACGTCCTATCAATATGCAATCGATTATAAAGCTCTACGCATATATGAGTATATATTTCTAAGCATAAATGACAATCCACAATATAAACCTAACACAGACCCATCAGCTTCCATTCAACTCTTCTGTGGAACAAGCTCACAGTTTAGATTCAGAAGACAGACAATCTCTCTAATTTTAACATTAGGCTTAAAACTTGCTGGTTCTGCTGGAGGTTTCTTCCTGTCAAAGGGGATTTTTTCCTTCCCACTGTTGCCAAAGCACTTGCTCAGAGGGGTTATCTGATTGTTGGGGTTTTCTCTGTATTATTCGAGGCTCGTAACCTTACGATATGAATCAGAATTCATATTGTAAGGAAGCTATAGAAGTCCAGTGGCCTCTGTTCAAGGATTCAACCTTAATTTAGTTCACAGGCCTGCATACGCAATTAATTTTGTTGCCCATTTTAATTTATTTCTGATTGTCCTCTGTATTTAATTGACCATGTTCTCTCTTTGAAACTCTTTTTAAAAGCCTTTAGGCATGACATTTTGTACATTCTCTAAATTTCTTTATTCTTTTGTTCCTTTTCAGTTCTAACTTATAGGACGATCCAGATCCAAATGTGTTAACGAGAAGTTTTCCCCCACCATCTTCACAACTACTTACAGACCTCCAGTAAGTAAGAATAATTAGGTATCTGAAGTATCCCTATAGTGCAATTTGGTTTTGCTAGTATGTCCATTGTCATAAAAAAGTCTCCCCCAAACTACATTGTCATTAGAGAAGCTTTGTTTTTTTTTTTTCATATTTGACACACTTTTAAACAAACACATTTTAATATTTGACAAAGATAACTAGAGTAAATACAAAATTCAGGTTTTAAATCACAATTTAAAACCTAAATTTAGGAAAAAAAGCTACCCAAGGCTTCCTGATTCTCTGGGAAAAAGTAATTGCCCCTTCGTTAAATCCCTAAGAAAGTTATACACAAATTAACTGTTAATAACCATATTATTTGAAAACCCGAGTTCAATTTCTCTAGTTACACCCAAGCCTGATTACTGCTAGACCTGATAAATCAAGAAATCACTTAAATAGAACCTGTCCAACAAAGTAAAATAGGATAACAGCTCTCAAAAAGTAACAAATCATGCCACGATCTAAAGAAACAGCTGGGAAATAAAATCATTGACATCTATAAGTCTGGGAAGGTTTACAAAACCATTAGAGAGCATTATCCACACATGGAGAAAACTTGTAACACTGGTGAACCTTCCCAGAAGCAGCCTTCCTACAAAAATTACTCCAAGAGCACTTTGACGGCTCATTCAGGATGTCACAAAAGAACCCAGAATAATAACAAAAAAATGCAGTCCTCACTTGTCTTAGGTAAGGTCAGAATTCATGATTTAACAGTAAGAAGAAGACTGAGGGAAAATGGCGTCCACGGGAGAAATCCAAGCAGAAAACCACTGCTGACCAAAAAGAACACAAAGGCTCGTCTCACGTTTGCCAAAAAACATCTTGATGATCCCCAAGACTACTGGGAAAATATTCTGTGGACTGACGAGACAAAAGCTGAATGTTTTGAAAGCTTTGAGTCTCATTACATGTGACATAAAAGTAACACCTATAGACAACATCATACCAACAGTTAAACATGGTGGTGGTCCAGGCCCTGGGTGACTTGTGGTAACTAATGCAACCATGAAATCTGCTCTATTCAAAAGTTCAATTTCATATTACTTATTTATTACTTATAAAACACAAAATAACATTGTAAGGGTAAAGACCCTATAATAATGCAGAGAAACCCCCATAATCAGATGACCTTTCATGAGCGGTGGGCTTACAGGGGGCATGTCTCATTATCCCAAGAAATTGGTGATATCATCCCCACCAGTAGCAGAAGTTTATCTTGTTTGTGGATGGACTAAATGCAGAGAAATATCTGTGACAATAATGTGTGCAACTGCCAGACATTTTCTCTTTATATACAAAGGTAAGAGCACCACTGAAAGGAGTGTTCATTAATTCTACAGATGAGGTCATGACAGTTGGAAAGTTGTAAATTTGTTGGAGCTCTGACGTCCATGATTTATTTGGACACAAAAAAGACAAAATAACAAACTGAGGCCACCATCCACAGTGGTAACTTGAATAAAAAGCGTGTTTTAACATAACATACATAAATTAAGGTCAAACTAAGGCTACTGGCAAAATGTTTTTACTGCCCTGTGAGGTTGAATGAGGTACATTAAGCCCATGTGTCTCTACACATGTTTAGGGTAATTCTGAGGGACTGCAGCTGTTGACACCACATGTTTAATCAATTCCAATTTAGAGTAGCATTGACTGTTCATCTAACCATCCATCATTCAGTCTACCGTGTCCTCAGTTAGTAAAGACCTGTTAAGTGCCATCTCACAATCTGCCAATACAATAACCAGTTACAAATAAATATTCAGCTTCTGATCACATCTGTCTTTGTTGAATGGGTCTGCTTATCCAATCACTAGTAAAGTCTGTCATTAACTGGTGAAAATGTAGTTGTGGAGAACCTTGGATTGTCATTATTTCAATATTACAGTGTTTTCCATGATTTATATGAGGGCAATCCCAAAAGTAAGGTCTCTAAAGCGGTGGGGACGTAGAGAAACTGTTCGTACGGCTGTGGGCCACACTGTTGTGATTGGTGCTTCCTCCACTCCCAAACAAGCATGCGCCGCTTCGCTGGGATGCTCAATCATGGCTTGGCAGCCCTTGAAAATGGAGCTCCCGTTGAACGCTACCGCCAAGTGCGAAGTTCGCGCAGTTATTCGATTTCTGAATGCAAAAGGCTTTAATCCATCCATCCATCTTCATCCACTTTATCCGAGGCCGGGTTGCGGGGGCAGCAGCCTAAGCAGAGAGGCCCAGACCTCCTTCTCCCCAGCCACCTCCTCCAGCTTATCCGGGGGAACACCAAGGCGTTCCCAGGCCAGCTGAGAGATATAATCTCTCCAGCATGTCCCTCCTCCCGGTGGGACATGCCCGGAACACCTCACCCAGGAGGCGCACAGGAGGCATCCTTGTCAGATGCCCGAACCACCTCAGCTGGCTCCTTTAAACTGGTTGAAATTCATCGCCAATTGATGGAAGTGTATGGACAGTCATGCATGGATGTCAAAAACATTTGCAAGTAGTGTAAAGAGTTTACAGCCAGCGGAAGGTGATTCTGCTCTGACGAAGAGGTGAAAGATGAGGTTCAGTGCTTCCTGAAAGACATGGCGGCGAGCTGGTATGACATGGGCATTCTAAAAGTGCCACAGCGTCTACAAAAAGAAAAGTTAAAGAAGTCCAGATGCTTTTCTTTCCAAGCTCCTTAGACTAGTTGACCCGGATGACCGAGAACCTTCACAGACATCGACCAAAATGGCGATTATGTAGAAAATTAAATAATTCTCCAACCTTTAAAATGATGTAAAAGAGAAAATAAACGGTTGTTTGTATTTCCTAAAAAAGTAGGAGACATTACTTTTGGGATTGCCCTCGTATGTTAATATAAAATCTCTTTCATTTTAACACTATACTAAACTCAATTTGAAATTTTACTACAGTATTGATTTGATTTCATTAACAAAGATGCAAACCACCCCGCTCTTATTTCACTCACCGAAACAGGAGCGCAGATGTCTTGGACAGTCTGTTAGTACTGTTGAATTAACCACACAACAAGCCATATTATTTGTCATATGTCTGCAAAAAACACTGCAAAGAGAACCAACACTACAAACACGGTCAAGAGATTCATTGTGCTCTTGTCTCAGTGAGAATCAGCTGAACAAGAATTTTTATGTTTTCCAACACTTCACGTTAAGTTTTGGTCTACTTTTTCTTTTAGCTATTCCCTTTAGGGGTTGCCATAGCAGATCATCTGCCTCTGTCTCGTCTCTCTAACAATCTTCTGCATCACACCAAGCCTCTGCACGTCCTCCTTCACTACATCCACAGATCTTGTCTCAGGGTCTTCCTCTCTTCTTCTTGCACAGCAACTTCCCACTTACAATATTTTGCCTTTTGTGCACATATCCAAACCATCTCAACCTCAGTTCTCTGTTACAATAAAATTGCAATAAAGACCAGAAATATGTACCACGATCACAGCTTTGAGGAATCAACCTTTGCCACTTATGCATGTGTTCTTATAACATTTATTCCTGTGGTTCCACATAAATGCATGCAGTTAGGTATCACACGACTAGCCACATCAGGTGCAAAGTAAGACACGCTTTCTTCCTGTATTAAATATGGTTCAGTTTGCAGTAAATTGCCCTCTGCTAAACCACCGTGTTCATGTGACTCAAACAAATACTCTCCTCCCCAAGTTTTAGTATATACCCTAAGGCTAACCACAGAAATATTTGTCAATGCCTTCCAGTTGCAAACCTGTCAGTGCCTTTCATCAATCCCAGCAGTAGCCGTTTTTACATAATGTTTTAAAGCCAAAAGACATTTTTCTTCACTGATGCAGACCTTTACTAAATCTGACCCGACAGGAACTAGCATATAAAAAATCATTAGCATGTCTTTTCTCAGCTACAGGCTGAAAAATGGCCATATGCTGGATATGACAAGACAAACTGTGTTTTAATTATTCATAATGGCAAAACTAGGCACAATACTGATATTTTTCAACTTATGAATTTATTTTATGTCAAGAGGTCGAGTCTGTTCTGTCATCAAGTCTAAATTAAGTGGCTTGTCATAATCATCATTTAATCTTACTCAAGTCTTTAAGCCTCTGATCTGAAAGAATACAAACTGCATTGCTAAAATCCATTATGAATTAAGTAGAATGCTTTCAATTAAATGATTTCTCTACCTTCAGGTTGAGTCTTGGATCCTCAATGAGCGCCCTGAGGTCACTGACTTGGGGAATCCGAACAGTCTTGATGGCTGCGTGGCGCTTTGCTCTGCAGACTTCAGCAGCCACCGACACATTTAGTGGCCCACACTTTCTCACACATTCCCCCTCATCAGCTAGCACCAGGACCTGCTCCTTCGAGCCCAGTGGAGCCTCGCATACAGGTGGGGAGCACAGAGAACGGCCTAAGACAGGACACGTACCATACAAAAACTGTGACAGACAGGAACTGGATTGCAAAAACAGATGCAAAAGTAGCAGACTCATGTCTCTTACTAGCTCCTCGTCTAAACAGCTTGTCAGTGGAGTGCCTAGCAGGACGGGGTTGTATGTAACTTTCCAGGCTGTGGAGGTTACAATGGTACAGAGACCTTAACAGGTCTCGAGCTGCTCCCAGCATGACCCTCCTCTCAGCCAGGTTTCGGCTCTGTGCCAACCGAGGAAGCAGTGCCAACTGGACATGGTACAGAGGCTCAAACAGGTAGAAGACCTGTTATGAAAAACAGCATATCGCCATTAAAGCACACTCCAAACACAAAAACACTACACACCAGAATTTTCTTTTAGATTTTAGCGGTTCTTTAAAAACAAAATACAGAAACGTCATAAAGTCAGTGGTTTTTGTAATATTTCAGACACGTTCTGGTTGCTAAGCTAATTAGCATGTGTATTTGCCGAGAATCCTCTGAAGTCTAAAGCTGCATAAATACTGATCAGGCACTTTGTAGATTATCAGTCTCTTGATGGGTTTAATATGTCCAGACATCCTGGTACATGAAGTACCAGGATGTCAGTCTGTATTTCTACCTGTGTCTTACTAACATATGCTTGATTTTTCCAAACATTATAACACAAGCATACTTTTTCTGCATTTCATGATTAACGATGCTCCTTAATTTAACCATACGTTACCGCCACTTTTAACTAACATCCTCAGTCTTGAAAGTTTTTAATTGCTTTTGAGTTTGTAAATTGTATTTCCTTTGACGCTGATTTTGCTTTGTATTTATATATTTGAATAAATTCATTGCTGGTCTATTTACAAAACTGCTTTAACAAAGTTTGGTATGCTTGTTCAAATTCTGACCATGCTTGACATTTTGACTCTCCTTTTACATTATCTGCAATATGTAATGAAGAAATGCTTTACTGTAATAAATGTTTTAATTACATAGAATTTATTTTGAAAAGTGCTGATCCTGTAACCTTTAAAAACTCATTTAGAAATCATTTTAAATCTGTTAAAAATTTGTTTGTGTTTAGATTTCTAAGTTTATTTTTATTTAATTGTTCTGTTTGTAAACTTGAAGTTATTGTAGATGTAAGATCTATTAAATATGTAGACAAAAAATTATGTGAATGAAATCAAATACATTTTGTCTGGATTGTTAAATTAAAGGCTCTTTGTGCATTTAGAAACCACTGACTCAAAAGCATCAGAAAGGGCATGACTTCATGATTTTTCATCATAATCCGACAGGTCACAGAAACTATATAATTTCTAACCTCTGGATGCTGGTTAAACAGCTGACCCACAAATGAGGACCCGCTCCGTGTGGTGGCCAGAATGAGGATGTGGGTTCTCTTGGTGACATTATAGGAAGGATTGGAGAGAGAAGGGGAGGAATTAGCATGGGAGGGGCTTCTATCACAGCTATGATCCAAGTCCACGGGTGTCTCCTGGCCCACCTGCATCAACTCTTTGGGGCTGCAGTTGACAGTCAAACCTGAAGGTGCCAGGCCCACAGAGCACAGAAAGCTTAAAGGGTTGCTGGAGAAGGTGCGGATGGCTGTGTACTGGATGGCTATGGAGGCCAATGCTAACAATACCATGGACTTCCAAGAACACTGCATGATGATTGGACTGGTTTATCAGGATCCCACAGCACTGTCTGCAACACAAGGAAACACAACAGACAGAAGACAAGAGACAAAGAGCTCTTAAGACTTACGGTTGGTAAAGTCTCAAATTTGTTGTCTTAATGCTTGCTAAAGTAGCCAATTGCTGACTTTGAGTTGAAGGCAGATGTTTCTGAATTTCACAAATTGGATTCCAACAAAGTGACGTCACATTGAGACCGTGAAAAATATATATTTAGGTATGTAAAGAAAATGAAAATAGCAGTTGTTTGATGGCAGATATCATTTTTCTCTCAGACACAATAACAAATAAGAGTAAAAAACAAACACAAGTGATCAAATATAGCCAACTTGCATTGCTGTTAATACTCATGGACAGGCTGCTCAAGTTTTCTTTCTTTCTCAAAGATCAGACTCTTGCCTTTACTAGTAGCTTTCTAACTTTCTTTGCAATTCTGACAGAAATTTCTCCGGTCAAAAATGATCAGTATCGTTCATATTATTGCAATATAGAAAGCAAAGGTATGATCCAGCCAAAAGTTTGTTTGTTTGTTTTGTTGTTGTTGTTTTAATATATTGGAACTACAGTAAAAAGAAATAAATGGAGTGCTCAATCATCATAACAAAAAGTCAGTTAAACTTGAGTGAGTCCATTTAAGAGCATAAACCACTGTGCATCCCCTTTAATTTTGTATGGCCTTATTTGCATGCTGGACATCTTTTGTTTCGTGCACTCATTAGAAAGCATTAATAGTTCTGGAGTACTTATTACTGTTGGAATAGATTCATAGTTTCTTTTAAAGGCCTGTGATATACAGTGAGATATCTTTCACACTGAACATTCAACATATATTGCTTCATAAATATCCGAAGGCTCGATAATAGTGCTGCATATCTCAAGCTAGAAACAACAGATCAGTGATATTATGTGTTTACACATCATTGTACGAGCTACCCCAGTCTGTCATTACGCGCCTCTTAATAAAGAGGCTGGCTAACACTGTCTTTTTTGTTATAGCACAGCGGAATATTAACCCTTGTCGACATGCCGCCATACCCACCACATCCACGGGCCCGCCTCATCCCTGAGTACCGGAGACAGAGTGGTTTCCCCGCGGCCTGATGGAGCGCTCAGCTGCCTCTCGGCTGCAGGAGGGCGGAGGGCTGACACCACGATGTAGACGCCAGGCAGGAAACCAAGCTGCTCCTGTCTGTGATCCACAGCAGGTATCAAAACATCACGGATCGGAGCAGAGACCACATAGAGATTATGATTAGGATCTCAACGAATGTTTGAATGAAAGCCCGTCAAATCCACAGCATCACAACCGATCGGCAGCCTGCGTGAGACGTCACATACTCCACAGCTACCCTCCCTCTCCTGCTCTACCTAGCCTCCACCACCCCCTCTCTGCCACCTCTGCATGCTTCATCATTTTTACGCCCAATAATTACAATCGTTTGTGTTTGTTCAAAGAATAGATGCCGAACAGTTACCATGGAGTTATTTCTGCTGTGCAACATTTTATCTAATATTTATTGTATGAAATAACAGACAGCACATGAAGGATGTAGCAGAAAAGCGGGGTGCACTCTGGACAGCCCAGCAGCCCATCACAGAGCGACACCTACGGCTAAATTAGTCATCAGCTAATCCACCGAGTCACGAGCCACACAGTCTTTGGCCTGTGGGACCAAGGTGGAAAACTGTGGGTGTATATTTATAAGAAAAAGTATTTTAGATCAGTGTGTAGAGTTTGCCTACTTCCATGTGTTAATTTAACTACACTTGCACTTGTTTATCAAACACAGACCAGACCTTTATGAAGCTTAATGCTTTGGTGATTAAAAAATAAGAAAGGAGGGCTTGTAGTTGAGACTGGGGATGCTGGGTGAGAGTGCCTCTGTGGTTCATGTTTCCATATGGCTTAGAAAGATCAATGAATGCGCAAGTAGCTCTTTATTCTCCATCATACTTGCAGCTGATATTGAAGTAGGGCATGTGTCATAAATGCGTACAAAGCTGACTACTAGCTTTTATATGTGTAGTTTATATCTACGTGATAAACAGAATCCGTACAGGTTTATGGATCTGCACATATTCATAACATTTATGGAGAGAATACATATAACATGTGGTTATATATATTTCCGAGATATGAATAACATAAACTATCCCCTCAGAATACAAGTATATAACAAAGAACGCAGATCTGTCAAAATCCAATAAAGAGTCTTCAGGAAACTGCATTACTGCAAACACATCTCAGACAGGCAACATCGTCCACTAGTTTTAAATCTCTTTTTTTCCAACATCACCCAAGCTGTGCATCTTAGGTGACGAAAGCAAATTAGGTACGGAACCAAATACATCACATATAGTCCTTACTGCCTCATGCATCGCTAAGAAAACTATCCTCTTGAACTGGACAGTTCATGAGGATATTTCATCTCATGATTAATGAACTGAGCCTAGATGATTTTTAATTTCAGGTAAGGTCCATCCATTCACCCATTTTTTGGCAGTTATGTGGGTTTGGGTCACACAGGGTAGGGTAAGCAGAGAAGCCCAGACTTCCCTCACTGCAGCCACCTGCTCCAGTTCATCCAGGCAGACATTGAGATGTTGTATTCAACTGTCAGTTAAATTCTAGTCAATTTTATTAATATAGCACCAAAAATAAATAGCAGTTGCCTCAGGGTGCTTTATATTGTACAGTAAATAACCCACAGCAACAAAGAAAACAGAGAAAACCCCAATGATCATATGACCCCCCTATGAGCAGATGCTTTGGTGACAGCAGGAAGGAAAAAAGCTTTTAACAGGAATAAACCTCCAGCAGAACATGGTTCAGGGAGGGGTGTCCATCTCCCATGACTAGTTGGGGTGAGGGAACGAAGACAGGACAAAGACATGCTGTGGAATAAAGACAGAGATTAATAATTATGAAATGCATGGCGTTTATGCAGAGTCAAGATTCGGCTGGTCAACTGCATCTAAAGGACAATGGTCACTCTTTTGAGGATGTCAGTGTTCACACTTCACACTTTGGTTTGAAAGAGGAGTGAAAGAAGCCATCTATGTCCACTGTGAACGACCACAGAGGCGGTGGCTTATGACACTAACTGTCTGCGATCTATAATCCAGTTTTGAGATCCCTTCCCAGACATCTTCACGCCCACTCACATCCTGAGTCCATAACACTCTTGGGGACACTCCCATTAGGGTTAAAATCTGGAACTCCCCACCAGTTGCTCTTAGAACTGAAGAAGCTTCTCGGATGAGAGGTGAAACATCTTCAAGGAAACTTAAAGAAGTCCAGACGCGTTTCTTTCCAAGCCCGACTACGATGACCTGGATGACTGAGAACCTTCACAGACATATCATGGCTTATATCTGAATAGAAAGAAATATGTATATATAAACCTTGAGAAAGAGGGTGAATCAAAGTTTATTTTGGGATGTATATTTTGATAGAAGGTTCACTTGGGAAAAGTAAATAGCAGCAATCAGAAATTGGATCAAGACTTAGCTGTTTATGTTTTGGAACAGCAGCTCAAACTAATTTAAAAAGACTGAATGTAATTGAGGCTGAAGCCCCAGTTTTATGCTTTGGGGCCCTGCATACACCTCCACCTTTATTGGTAGAAATTGGATAAACACCACTAGGAATAAGCAATAAGGGAAAAACAGCAATGTGATACACAATCAAACGTAGGAGACATCAACCACAACATCCAACAACATAGTATTATTAGAAAATGCTAAAGTTGGTTGTAGCCCTTCAAATTCAGTGGGCAGTGATTTTGACATGGATTCTTTCCACACCAGAAAACGATCTCAGTACATTAGAAAACACAGGAGCAAATTCTAATTCTGTGTCCATGGTGGAGGAAAAGTTAAGAAGGAGCTGGGTATCTCACCTACAGATTTATACAAAGTGGCCCATGATGAAGTGGCAAATCAGACTTTGCCTGACATCCCAGACCTCGACATCACAAAGCTCAGCTGAAGTAGTTTCTGTTAATAGTACTTAGCTAAAGTGGGTGCAGGAGGTCAGGTTAAGAAGAGTGATGATTTCAGCTCAGTTTTGATGAGACTTAAAGAAAAACTACCTGTCGCTTGATCAGATGTAAAGGTGAAGCTCCTGGTTCTATCGTACAGGCTTGAAAAAGCCAGAGAATCAGTAGAACTGGCATGGAAGGGATTGGTATTGACCTCAGAGTAGACACAGGGACTTCAGAGTGTAGAAAGCGTAACAGCTCTGCAGCAGAAGCAATGGGAAAATGAAAAGGGTGTGATTACATTTCATTGCAAAAGACTATCAAGATACAGAAACACCATCTGCTCCATGTAACAATGAGCAGGGGGGACAGGATGATACTGAGTGGGCTAACACTGCCTCTGTGCTTTGAATCATGGGTTGGCATTGATGAGAAAGCATCCTGAAAGAAAATGGACATGTGAAAGACAGAAACTATCTGCATTGATCATCAGAGTGGACATTACAGACTACTCCTTTAGATCAGTATTCAATTTGGATCATTGTGGACCCATAAAATCAATATTTAGGTTTTTTGCATAGTACCAGACATATGTCAGGATTTGATCATCTTGTAATTCTACGAATGGCCTGATGGGGGCAGCTCTAGGCTTTGGATTCGTTAGACTACCGGAAATCCAACAGAAGAAGAAAGAGCTGCTGGAGTAATATGGCGCCCGGCACCTACTAAACGTTGTTGCCCCGCTCTTTTTACTCGGAAGTTGATTTATCATACAGCAAAAAGTCACCGTCAGTGTTTCTTTGCGTGTCCAGTCTTTCTCTCCAGAAAAAAACCGCTTTTAGCTCGTTTTTTATTTTAACTTTGTCTCAAACGACACCGTCGCCTATAGCACGGAAATGTCCGAAGTGGAAGTAATAAAGCTGCTGGTGAATCAGCGGCTGACTGCAGTGGCTGAAGAGATAGTGGGACTGTTTGAGAAAACCTTTGCAGAGTACCGAGACAATGTGGCTCGCTTGGTGGAGGAAACAGAGCGACAGCGCAGGCTGCTGGAATCCGTAAAAACCCCGGGAGCTCCCTCACCACACACAGGTCTGTGCAGCGTGTCCTCGGTTTGCTCCCGTTGCTTGATTGTAATTCAGTTGCTATAGTTGAGTCTTAACGGGTAAAAGGAAATAAAGTATCAGACGTCGCTGAGATTGTGTAAGTTGTATCAGAATAAAGACATCCTCACAAGAGCACTTTAACAAAAATTACAAGAAAGTCTGACTGCTTGGGAGCGAAATCTAAAGAAATGAGGGGCGGCTCAAGGCCTTTGCACTGTGATAGCATCCTTTCACTTTTGCGCTATGTTTAAAGTGATGCTTAAATGTTATTGGGTCAGATCTAACCATAACACGAGAGCATGCATTTTATAGGAAGGTCACATGCAGAAAAGTGCTGTCCAAATATTTGCTTGTATCTGTGTTTCTTGCAGAATCCTTGGTCGAGGAAACAGAGCGACAGCACAGGCTGCTGGAATCTGTAAAAACCCCGGGAGCTCCCTCACCACACACAGGTCTGTGCAGCGTTTCCTCTCTGTTTTCTCCCGTTGCTTGATTGTAATTCAGTTGCTATAGTTGAGTCTTAACGGGTAAAAGAAAATCAAGTATCAGACGTCGCTGAGATTGTGTAAGTTGTATCAGAATAAAGACATCATCACAAGAGCACTTTAACAAAAAATTACAAGAAAGTCTGACTGCTTGGGAGTAAAATCTAACCATAACACGAGAGCATGCATTTTATAGGAAGGTCACATGCAGAAAACTGCTGTCCAAATATTTGTTTGTATCTGTGTTTCTTGCAGAATCCCAGCCGGCGTTGGAAATAGACACAGCACCGAAACAACAAACTTTGGGAGTGAGCTTGAACCATGAGCACATAGGTGCTCGCTACATCAAAGAGGAACAGGAAGAAATGTGGAGTAGCCATGAGGGAGAGCAACTTCAAGGAGTGGAGACGTTCTCTTTTGGCTTTATCCCTTTAAAGACTGAGAGCCGAGAGGAGCCGGAGGTCAGCTCTCCATACCTTGTGAAATGTAAGTTTAATTTGTTAATAAAATGTAACAGCAGGAGAAGAGTAATTAGCTCATTTGTCTGATCTGCACTACAAAGCAGCTATACCTTCATCCCCATCCTTAAAACCTTCCCCCTCACAGAGAGAATTATAACCTTTGTCCTGCTTAGCTGTCACCTATAGATTTACATCCCTGATAAGCAGGAGTCTCACTATGTGTTTAACGTCTCCCATGAACTTAAACGGCCCCCAGTATGTCTGTGTGTAGGTGTGATAGAGCAAAAGGCCCACTCGGGAAGCTAACCTTAGTGACAATGTGATACTACTGTTACTAAAGTGATTGGTTAAAATACGAGATCAATACATCGAATAAAGAAATTTGTTACACTTACATGTTTCAGATCATCTAAAAATGTAAATGTTAGACAATGATGACACAAGTAAACACAAAATGCAGTTTCTAAATGAAGGTGCTTATTACAAGAAATCTAAACATGGCCCTGTATAGAAAAGTGACC